CTCTCGCTCAAGCTTATACATTTTTAGTCAGGGTTGTATTAATTTAAATCTTCCATTTCTGAAAGTCACACCTTAAAAAAATTTGTTTTCATGGACATGACTTATATTTTTATTTCAGGACAAAAGTGGCAGGCCACAAGGAATTTTAATAATGCACACAAAGAAATCTGAGTGCAAAATCTAAACACAAAAGATATACATTGCCCCTTCATGTCTATTACACCCAGGGGCCAAACCAGTCAGTTCCTGGTTCACCTTCCTTTATGTAAGTGGATTAAAAGTAAGATTAACAAACTATCAAAAAGAATGTTAAATGATAGCTTCTGCTAGTTAAAAATTCTGATGGTTCTAAAACTCTGTTGGTGGCCATCTTGGCCTGGGAGCTTTCACACAGACGAGACTGGTGAAGGCAGGGCATGGGGGATGGAGAGGCACTGAGGCAGGAAGGGGTTATTAAAAATGAGTAATCCCTACAGAAAGAAAACACCTAGGCCCAGCAGGGTTCATGTTTTAACACACACATCAACACTGAGAAACACATCAGGAAAATAAAAAAACCTGCTCTGTCTATTTTAGGGACAGGATTTCTCTATTCAGTTGTTTTTTACCGAAGAAGATTCTAACACTCGCAAAGTTCATTCCTGTGGTATCCACATCCTGCTCCTGAGCCAGACAGTGTCCATTCTTGTATGGCACAAGCTGCCCTGGCAGTGCAAATGTGGTGAGATCCTTTTCCATCTCACACCAGCACAGGCTGAGGGGGCCCCGTGCACATTCACTGGTTCTCCCGCGCAGCACTGCTGGGGAAGGCTGGGCTGCACTGTGGGGGCTCATGGCAGGAGTGCAGCTTCATGCCTGGAGCAAAACAGGTTCACTATGCACTGAAAATAAATAAATAGCCTCTTCTTTTCTCTGCCGAGTTGCCTGCTGGGTGGAAAGGTAACTGCTTGCAGCAGACTCATGGGATCGCTCGGTCAGTGAAGCTGCAGGGTGACCACGGGGCAGGGCCCACCCCACGGAGTTCCCTGGAAGGCCAGCCCAGAGTGGTGGGACGCTGGCACCAACAGCAGGGGGGTAAGGGCTGTCCCACAGGATGTGTCAGCCCGGACCTGCGCTGGACCGGCTTTGCCCCTCCAGCGCACGACCTGCTGAAGACAGAGCTGCCACCGGGCACGTACCGAGTGAACAGGCAGCAGGGCAAACTTGGAGGGGAAATGCATTTTTTTAAGAATAAACCTCAAAACTGAACCAAACAAATGAAAATTGTGGAGTGCCTTCTTCTCACAAGTTTTTTCCACTGACTTTTTTAGTCTTATTTAGGATTTATCTTTTTTGTTTGTAGTAAGAGGGCTACAACCTGTCCTCCAGTCACAACGCATAACAAATGTTTCTACATTTATAACTGAAATCTGAAACGACAAGAAAAAGGGAATGAGAAAGAGCCAAGTGCTCTGAAGGTGAAAAAGCACCGCTGTATCTTCAGTGAGGAGAGGGGGTGCGATGGCATGTTCTGTGGAACATGGCCCGTGTTTCTCTGGGTTTGTGGAGCAGCTGGCATTTCGAAAGGCAAAGCTGTAAGCTAAACTTCCTCATAACCCAGAACAAAGAGCTCAACAAGGCCTCCAAATGCCTCATGCCCCCAAAAATCATACATATTATTAACAGTGCAGTAAGCTACGATCAAAACTGTTTATCCTGAATCTGCCAAAGAAGTCCTTATCCTATTATTTGATTGACAACAACCCTTTTGATAAACATACATGGGTATCAAAACCAACCAATTTACTGCAAATGAATACCTACATGAAGAAAAACTTGAAGTATGTTTTGACAAATGTAATTTCCCTTCTTTGATACAGCAGAAATACAGAAAGCAGCCACGATAAAAATGATGTGTTAATGTTTTAAATCATCATCTTAAAGAGGTTATTAAATATTATTTTAAACCACAGCAGGAATTGGAATGTTCTGCTGATGTTGTTTTTTTTTTTTCCAGAACAAGTTTAAAGAAACTAACTTCACTCACTTATAAAGCTCTATTTATCACGGAGCCCTTATATTTAAGCTTCACTGAATACCATATGATAACATTTTTTCATCAAAAGGCAAATTAAATTATTCCAGTTATAAAGGTTTTTGCCGCTTCTTTTTAAGATTCCTTGCTCTGGAAGTCTGTTTTGGTTGGAATAAGACATTTCTGCTCACACAACAAATTATTTGTAATGTGCCCTCATGTGTCACCAAGGCCAACGTCAACAAACCCCTCCACCATCCCCAAGAGCAGAATGGGCTTGTTATTGAGTCATTGTTTGAGTTCCCCCACGCACCATGCAGGGGCTCTGAGGAGTCAATAGATGGCAGTCCATCTCCTAGGAAAGCACCGGCAAATGAGTAAAATAACCAAAAGCCTCACAAAAGAGAGAGGTGGAAGGCCATGTGGTTCTTCACCAGCATTCACAGTAATTAACTAAGAATACTTTATAGAACGTGAAACATTTGACCAAAATCTGTGATGGTCATTTGTGAGTGATGCAAAAAAAAAAAAAAAAAAAAAAAAGGTGTTTTATCACAAAACCTGATGGCTGGGCTGATCTGCACTGAATGGACCTGCATGAGGGACACTCACCACCCATTTACCAAAACCAGCTTAAATCTAGTGGTTGTATCCACAGCTGAAGTGCAGGAAAAGCTTCCCATGGTCCCCAAGGACTGGAGAGCCTCTGCGTGCTGCAACAGCACAACGGCACTTTCATTTTAAACTTCTCCTGTTTTTCCTTAAGTTGTTACCCTGTTTGTACCGAAATATCTATTCTAAGCTAGGAAAACTGTACGCTGCTTTCAAAGTGAAATATTAATATGCTGATGTGAGAGTTGAAAAATCATGGCTTTTTGTTACGATGCTATAAATATATATAATATATATAAAATATACATTATTCGAATGCAGAAGTTTCGATTCTTACCAGAATATTATTTACTTCTGTTTTGGGTGCAAAAGAGAATATTTAAAGGGAGTAATGAAAGCCAGGACTCTCACTTTTAAACAATTCAGATAACGGAGTTTCTTTCAATTTACTTATTGTAAATACTAAGCATGTCTTTTGCCACACAAATTTTTAAAATTCCAGGTTTAGTCTGACTGCTAATGTAACTTTGAACCAAAGGGACTTTTCACATGCAAAAAATGGACGTGTGCAAAGCATTTCCCACGTGTCAGAAATGTGGATTTTTTGCAGATAATCTGCAGTTCACTGCAAAATAAAAAAATTATTTATCAGAAGCTACAGTCTGACTTGATACCAGTTAATCTTTGTGTGCCCATATTTGACTACATTATAAAATTATCCTTAAAATGCGCCACAAATTTCCAAATGTTTTTAATAATACACTTGTATTTATAAGCACTAAATTTTCTAACGAGTATTTTCTCACATTTTTTAGCTTTATACTGAACTAAGTGTAAACACTAAATGCCTACTACAAAATCCACAGAAAAAATTTTCTATCTCAAGATACTTCAAAATCTGGCCTAATAATAACTCAGTCAGATTTAAGTTACTCCACACTTTTTTTTTTAACAGAAATAAGTATTTTCTGAGTGTTGATGGCAACACGCTTTTGGAAGAATTATCAGTGGCAGGTGAGACTAAAATGAAATTAAATCTATCTCAGTAAAAAACAAAACACAAGATGTTACTGCACCAAACATACTTATCATATTATTAAGTTCTAAGTACCATAAACATTTCAGAAATTGTTTTTACATGCACCCACAGGGATTATAACAAAAGACAGCATTTACCTTTTTCCTTCATCCAGTTTAAAAAAAGCAAACAAAAATATTCAGTGAATGCATCTTTTGCTCATAATGCCTTTAAAAAAAAAACCCAACAAAAAGTCTTTACCAATTCTGTTTAAAAGTAAATTCTCAGGAAGGGTGGATAATCTCCAGTGCAGATCTTTGTGTTAAAATCTTTATGCACAAAACACAAATGTGAGGTTTTAAGTGCAGATTTCTCCTATTCATTGAATTTAGAAGTAAAAAAAGCAGAAAAAAGAGCATTCCACTGCCACGAAGAGGTGGAGGCACAAATTATAAAGCACATCCCATCTACTGCTCCAGAGACAAAGTGAAAGACCCGAAAAGAAAAGTAATGGAGAAACTTTTCTACTTTGTTCTGAGCAGAGAGTGGGGCTTAATTATCTGTAACAGCAAAATACGTGCACGGCCGATCTGGGGAGCGGCGACAGCAAAGCTTCAGAGGGACAACGAAACCCTGACCTTTAAAGGTGTTTTTATGTACGACAATTTTGGAAAATAATATATTCAAGACCTGCGAGACCAATCTGTGGAATATTTTCTTGACTGATTAAATATCATAACAGGTTTCAAGATTAGCCAAATTTATATGCATTTTGTTTTATTTTTATCTCTGTTTTACATATGAGGAAAAACCTTAAGTAATACACTGGTACAGTTCACAAAGTTGTATTTTCTTGTTTCAGAGATTAAACATCAACTAGTGCAGGCCAAAGAAGCAATCGTAGCTATATCCTGACCAATTAAAAATTATCTGTAAAAGTTTATGAGTTTATTTGCTCAAATCAATGTCTCCACTCTAACTGAGATTTATTTTACTTATTTAAGAGGAAAGTTTTGTCACACAGAGTTACTAATTACCAGCATCTGGGATATCTGATTATTGCTCCTGCTATGCATCCCAACTTAAAATTTAGTCCTCTTTCTACGTGTAAATGTGGTCACTGAGAGGAGAGAAGCAAGGCACTCATTTGATTATTACAGTATTAAAAAAAAAATTAGAATTCTAAAGATGTTTAAAAAATAGAGACAGTGTTTCATTGCCTTCTTCAGTTCAAAAACTCTTCAGATGTTTATTATCTTCTCACAGAAGATTCTTGTCTATATTTTATGGTCAGCAGTTCACAGAGGAGTAAATAGGTTGGGTGTAGAAGAAAATAAAAAAGGTGTTTCTACTTACTGTTAGGTGATACTGCCTCCATATTTCTGGGCAAGCCTGGAAAATAAAAATATTGATCAGCTAGGAGCATGAAACAAGGTGCTTTACAGCCTGTTGGTTTTGGCATAACACAGTATCCACTGGTGTCGGTCACAGGAAAATAAGAAGCTTAACTGAAAGGGTCTGCATTTCAGCTTCAAAAACCTGGCTAGACAGTTTAATTGAATTTTACACTGCTTTAACACACTCCCTGCCATTGTCAGAAAGCCAGTAACAGTTTTCCCTCTGCCCTTCTTCTCCGAGGGGCAGAAGTTTGGGAGAGCAGTGTGTCTGTGACTGTAGGAAGCATTAATGCTGCAAAACAAACAGGGGCAGATTTAAATTCTACATTTCTGACATTTTAAATTTACATAATGTTCTGAAATTTAAATCACAAGGTGCCTTCCTTTCATGTAGGAACAGAAACATTTTATCTTTTTTGTACGTATCTCTTTCCTAATCAGAATATAATTGTTACACTTAATAATCCCCAGCAACCGCGTGTCAGACGAGTTGTAAACAAGAACCATAACAGATTGCTTTAATGTTTCTATTTTTACAATGGCTTACTTGCGCTTTTTTTATTATTATTTTTATTTTTTAAATTGCCAGGCTCTCACATCAAATCCTAAGTGCAGCCTTTTGTAAAAAAAAATTTTCAGAGCAGGTTTTTCAGTCACAGCAGTGACACAATAGATCTGAGGGACGCATGAGAGACAGGAAAGAGGGAAACACGGATCTTTAAACAAAATCAGGATGTGTTGCTGGTCACTGAGGCTGAGGTCACTCTCTCAGGCACTCTTAATGGTTTTACAAAACGTACAATATTTCTGATGGCCCCCGAGCCACAGACAGACATGGAAATAGTGGCACTTTCTGTCCTTTCGGCATACAGTTACTGCAGTGGAGGGCTTTCACTTCTGTTTAGAACATTTACTCTCTTATTAGAACTGCTCCTTAATGATTTAAACAATTAGCAATTTGGTTTGCCAACCTCCAGTTTCAGTATTTTAAGAAATATGAGTTATTCCACGGCTTCTCCATAATATGCTGGAGCTGCAATTTCAAACGTTTGAAGTGTCATGACTACTTGCAAATGAGTACTATTAACATTTCTTTACATTTCAAATAAATTTTTCACTCATGCCTAAATTCTTGCCTTCTTTTATTCTGATGGAGCATGTTAATTAAAAAGACTCCAACTTTAACCAGTATCTCTCAAAATAAAATCCAAGTTTTCACCAGTCCCCCTATGGCACATATTGCGTGTTTTTCCTGGATGTGATGGAAACGATATTATTTATTATTCATTCCCCAGTAACACAATTTTCTGCAGAAAAATCTACAATCTGTTCTGTGTTATGGTTCAACATTTCTCCTCTTACTCAAATAATGTGTGTAAATATTTGAGTTTTATATTAATGTTTCTATAAAAGAAATGTGTGAAGGACATCACATTCCTCACTGAGGATCTGATGGTTTGAACACACTCAAGCTGTTTTTGAGTGCAAACAAAAGGATTTTCCTCCTTCCCTAACTTACACAGCGTTCAGAGGTGCAACACATAAACACCCCCTAACCTGTAAAATACTGTGCCAGAGATCTCAGCATCTCTCTCAGACCTGAAGGGGTTTAAGCTGTGCCAGAGAGCTGTGCTGGTCTGGCTCAGGGGGAGCAGGCAGTTATTTATACATTAGTTCTGGATAGTTTTTGATTACCACAGTGTGCCCAGGCTAATATGGTTGAAAAATCGCAATCAACGAGTTGTCCTATGCTGGCAAAATGCCACTATGTGGTATGACCTTTACTCACATGACAGCTATTTAATAATCCTCATAATAATAAAAATTACTTTGTTTTTGAATAATCATTCGGTTTGGTATTTTTTTTCAGTCTGGACACAATGAGATCACTTTGAGTGAAAATCTGTAACTCAGAGTGGGAACCACAGTTGGCAGAGCTCTTGCTAAAACGCTGGGAGAGCTCTAGTCCTGGTACCTCTGTGGTGCTGTCCAGTGGTGGGGTTCATCCTTATCCCACCATCCTTATGGTGGGGTTTATCCGCCTTTAAGGGGGTGGGAAAACAAAAGGGAGGCAAGGAAGACGAAGGTGGTGTCTAAGCATATCCCTTCATTCAGATGGTGACTTGGGGTAATACTGCTCACCATTAAGAAGTCGGGTACAATAGCTGAGGAGGGGTGACTATTAAACAATGGCTTTTTAGAGGCAATGCTTTTAACCTGTTACCTCACATCAGCTCAGGGTTATTGTCTGCATCTTCTAGTGGGGAATGACAAAAAGTATAACTAACAAATACTACCAAATACTGGCTCCTCAAATGAAGCAGAGACAGTTTGCTATGAAGAGACCACAGCCAAAGACAACTGCTGCCAAACCTGTGACCTTCCTTATTTAGTTAGAAGAACTTAGCCATGAACAGCACTCTTTTAAAGAAAAGCCCTTGCACTACAGAGTTATATGGCAGTGCGATGAAGCACATTAAAATAAAGTTGCATTTATTTCCTGCCCCAGTGGCCTGACCCTACCTGCATGCACACACAAGAGGTGCTTACTCCTGAGGGCAGTGCCAGTGCCAAGGCACAGCCGGTGCGTGCATGGCCAGGGGCACGTCCCCTCACTTGCCCACACCTTTGGCCGTGTGAGCACTGGGCCATTATTTCCACACATCCATGCCACCGCTGCCACGGACCACATCCAGGCAGCGTGGAGGGGTGACTGCTCGTACCCGAGGCTGACCCAGCGCTAGGTGCCACACCGGGCGAATCAGGGCTGGGTGCTTCGTGTTTTGACCCGTATTAAATTTTGTCAGGTGCTAATTATTGTTTTACCAGAACAACAGCTTAAAGCATCTGTTGTTTAATTCCCACTTCCCCATTCTCCAACGTGAACATCAAAGAAAATAAAACACTCAATCTCAAACAGCCCCTGACAGCAGACCGGGACTTGAGTGCTCAATAGACGAAGCCCTTGCCACCAGTTCTCATATTTCCACAACAATGAACAAACACAAAACCGGCACTAAGCGGCCTTTCCTGCTTTCCGCTCCCCTCGGCCGGTCGTCTGCCTCGCGCCGAGAGGGCCCTCGACGGCGGCCCTGCGGGGCGCGCGGCGCGGGGGAGCGGATTAGCCCCGCTAACATGCGAGCGCCGGCAAAAGGGAAGGAAAAACCCCGCTACTGTATTTGGCGTATGAATAACCAAAATGCACGCGCTGACAGGAGACCGGGACGGGCCCGCGGCTCCCCGGGAGAAAATGTAGCTGTGATGAGTGACAGGGCTTTCAGGAAATATGTTCACAATCACAGACAGTGAAGGCCATGACCTAGATCGTTTAAGAGCTTGTCTTGTCAAATTATCAAAAGCTTCTTCGTCTCTGAATAAAGAGTGACATAAGTGAGTGTCAGAAAGCTGCAGGCTGACAAGCCAAGCATACAATAACAGCATGCACGTCACATACTTGCCGAACACCGCCACGGCTAGCGGCAAATCTTAATGAGAGCGCGGCTGGCCCAGGAGACTTGGGTCCCTGCTGGCACAGCTACTCATCTCGCAAAAATCCTTCAGCTCCGAGTCAGTTATGGTCTGACACGACGACTACAATTACTAAACACAACTTTTTAACAGAATCCTCTGGTGCTTTGTCAAAGCAGCGGCGGCTGCTTGGAGCTGCCCCGCCGCAAGCCACCACAATAAAACAAAAGATTTGCCAAAACACACACTTTTCATCACCTCCACATGGGAACTGCCATGAAAACACACAATGCTTCCCTTCAAAACCACTCCTGCACGAGCAGATGTCGAGACCTCTCCCCACGCTGCTGGCGCAGACGGCCGCTGCTGCCAGTGCCAGGTGGGCAGAGCTGAGTAGCTGCTGGCATCAACCCTGCTGCTGGTAACGTGGACTTGCACTCACCCTTGGCTGGACACGGACATGCCAGACATGAGATGGATGGGGCACAGTGCTGGGGAACGAAGGAGAAAAGGCAAACCCTGTGCTCTCTGCCCAGGTGAGGGTCAGGGGCCCATGGTGCCACCAGTGGGAATAGGCCACTTGGCCACAGAGACACCAACCACACCTGTGGATCCATCCCTGCTCCTCCAGCCCTATCCCAGCCTGCAGCAGTGGCCACATCCCCATGGTGAGCAGTGGCACAGGTTCTGGAAACAAGAGAGGCATAATTTCCCAGGAGAGAAGAGGCCAGTGGCGGCTTGCACCAGAAAAAGTGTCAGGAAACACGGAGAAGATGCCGATTGATGCATCTGTCTGATTCCCTGGAAGGAGTACTGCTGACAGGGTGTTTAGGGCACTGGAAATGAGTCCACCAGGCCATCAGTCACAGTGTGGCTGCAGGGCACCAGGCACAGCTGGCTGCCAGCTCCTAGGCGAACCTAGCTGGCTCACTGAGCACCCACACGCTGTTTTTTCCCAGGTATGTATGAAGACACTGCCCTGTCTGTCTGCTTCCTGCAACATCATCCTGTTCATGGAGTCTTTCTCCCAGCCCTGCCGCTGGCAGGTGAGGTACACTGGCCACGAGGATAATGACATCCACCTAAGTGCCAAGGAACCTGCCCACATGGCTCCTCTGACGACCCTCCCAAGGAAACCACACAAGGCCAGGCTGCTTCCAACACAACTCCAGCTAAAAGGACTCCATCCATTTTCAGCGCTATCTCAGGGAAAGAGACTGACCTAACATCTCATAAATGTGTGACCCTGTAAATGTTTCAAATAACTCTGAATGTTGTCTAACTGAACCAGGTGAAGCACCTTGAGCTATGTCATGTTCACTTCTGGAAAAAAGTGTGGCTATGGAGAGTCACTCTGACAGACTGTGTACAGGACCCTGTTCTGCATTCTCTCTGTCACAATAAAAGGGAGTGAACTTGCTGGGAAAGACAAATTGCAATTTCCTTTGAGCATCCAATGCATTTGACTACATATGTTCTATAACAAGTAGATGAGAACTGCCATTTTACAAGAAGTCATATGGGAAAGACAAGGGGTGATGGCTACAAGTTACTCCTGGGGAGACTCCAGCTGGATACAGGAGAAGACTTTTCACAAGGAGAACATTCACCTCCCTAGGGAGGAGGTGGATTCCCCAGCATTGGACACTCTTAGGATTTGCCTGGAGAGCATGCTAGGCTGTCTTGGTCCCTTCCAACCTGGTGTTGCAGGATTCTGTGATTTCTCTTCCATGAACTGCTCCCACTTCCTCTGGAAGCAGAGCAGATCTGCATCCCTCAGCAAGGAGAATCATGGGTCTACTGTCAACTGCACAGAAAGTCACCTCCTCCTGTACCTGGCTCCTACTGACTGCCAGGTGTGCTCGAAGAAACCATGAACAACTGATTCCTGATCACTGTCTTCCATCACAGATGATTCTGAAGCTCTTCACATACCCTTCCCTCTGTAACCTCCCCTCCAGGATAAGGAGTTGTGGTTGTGCTGAGGGATGCAGAAAAGAGGGACTAAAGTTGTGCTGAGGTGTCACTTGCTTTTCTGATGATTTCTAACATTTCACTTTTTTATTACAGCTTGTCATAACTATAATCTGAGTCCTGAATAGCAATGCTCAGAACCCATCATTCCATATGCCAAGATGTGATTATTTTCCCTGGTATTTTACTTGCCGTTCATCTGCCATTTTACTGTGTTCTCCCTCCAGTTCTTACAGTCCTTGGGCAGTTCCTCATAGCTGGCTCACAGCACTGACTCTCTAAGCAATTCCACCTTCTCAGCAAATTTTGTTGCCCTATTGTTCACCCTTTCTCATGTCACAGCAGCATCTCCCACCTTTATCCTTGTACTCCATGCCTGTTTAGTTTTCTTAAAAGCTTTTGGTTAGGAACTTTGTCAAATGTCTTTTGGAATTTGTAGACTATGTCAACTGGATCATGTTTACACACGTGCTTGTCAACCTGCTCCTTTGAAGAACTTTGGAGATTCCCAAGAAGTGATATTTTTCTCCTTTACAAAAGCAGCCTTGAATCCCCCCGTGCATATCGTATTTATACACCCATCGCAACGTGCTGCTGCTGGGGTTCCTGCCTGCTGGCTCAGTGCACGTGGCTGGTGGGCCTGGACCTGCAGCTCTCCCTGCGACCCCACACACTGTCCTTGCATTTGCCACTCAGTTACCAGTCAGGCACCAAGCACGAGGTCTCACTGCCACCACCAACTGCGTCATTTCACCTTCACATTCCTCCGCAGCTTTTGGACAATCATCACCCTGTCTTGGTAACAGGCTTGCACTCACAGGTTCATGGTAAGCCTCACTTTCTCTTCAATTCTAGACAGCTTCCCGGTGATCCTCTCCACAAACAAAGGTTTCAGTGTGGGAAAGTGGTTTCTTCCACTATGAATATCCCAGATGCAAAAAAAAAAAAAAATCTTTAAGCCAACAGCAGCAGACTTGTCCTGTCCAAGCATTCCCTTTGTGTCTTGATCACCTGCTGGCCTCACAGGAAAGGTTTACTGTTGGTTTTGATTGCTTTGCCTTTGTTCTGCCATGCTATCTCTCTATTTGAGGACAGGGCAGGAGAGATGCTGCTCCAACACCCCAGTGTTTACCGCACAGGCGGCCTCACGCAGGACTGCAAGAGAATTGCCCAAAGTTTCAAGGACAAACCTTTCTGATTTAAGGTGGACCTAATGAGCAGAAAAAAATACATGCTGTGATTTTCCTGATAACTTGCACAACTCAGGTAGGATTTAAAATTTTGGATGATAAAGGACTCATGATCCTTTACAGGAAAGATTATCAGTTTATGAGAACTCATGTCATAAAATGTGTAAAAGAGAAAAGGTGGCAAAGATGCTTGAGATTACAGTTTTGTCTCTCTGCATACCAGAACAGGGGTGCCATTCATCTTCTTTAAAGGTATTGTGTGCACATTAGCTATAAGTAAAAGTACATCTAGAAGAGGAAGATCAAATTTGAATTTCTAATATGTCACAGGTTTAGTAGCAAGGGGAGGGCTACAAGGGCAATTTCAGTTAGAAGCCACTAGAAGTTTCACTGTCCTATCCTATAAAGAAGCCAATGACAGCTAGCTCCAGGAGGGACTTCCTTAGTGATGGCCAAGGCTAAGCCAATGAAAATGTGCTTTTGTGATAACATATTGAAGAACAGAGGAAGAGAAGGTTTGTTGGGCAGACGAAATTCCAGCCCGGAGAAGAGCAGAGGAGAACATGGGATAACAAGCAGACTCCAAGGTCAGAGTAGTGGGGGGTAGAGGAGGGGCCCAGGGGTGCCCCTCTCCCCTCTAGCAGGGTCAAGACTGAGGGATGAGGCCCCTGCCGCCTGTGGAAGATCATTGG